GTCCCTCGCAGCAGGCAATCGTTACGCTAGGCTGCTGTGCTCTACCCTGCCATTAATGCCATTTACAGCCCCTATAATTGCCCTGTGTGCACAGCATGGCAGGGACTGGCCACAGCCACTTCCTTGAGGTGTCCCTGCCATTTGCTTTCTGATGGAGACTGTGTGTGCGCAGGGTCTGTGGGCTTTCATACCTGATGACGTGTGGCATTTGATGTTCTGCTCCTCACTCGGTGTCTGTGCTCTACCCTGCCATTAATGCCATTTACAGCCCCTATAATTGCCCTGTGTGCACAGCATGGCAGGGACTGGCCACAGCCACTTCCTTGAGGTGTCCCTGCCATTTGCTTTCTGATGGAGACTGTGTGTGCGCAGGGTCTGTGGGCTTTCATACCTGATGACGTGTGGCATTTGATGTTCTGCTCCTCACTCGGTGTCCCAGAGCAGAGGAGACAGAGGGATGACAAGTCTGCATAGGCCACCTCTCTCTCTGGTGCCATACCCTGAGGATGCTGATGGGAGTGAGCAGTTGGGAAAGCACCAAGGGCTCCTGTGGGCCCTGCTTCAGCCTTCCTTCAGTGGCCCCAGTGCTCAGACGCTCCCATTGCATCCCTCTGCCTTCCCCCGGCCCTGTGGAGAAGGGAGGTGAGCTGCTAGGATTTCTTCTCCAGCTGAGAGAAGGGAAGCGCTGTGATGGTTGCTAACCCCAGCACTCCAGGCACATTTAATGAAAATACCAAAGAACCGGGACAACTCCTATTAGAGCAGGGCTGGAGGATGACGTCCAAGCTGCTGTTTGTTTTCTCCACCAAAAGCCCAGCAGGACAGCATCACGTGTGCTCCCCCATCAACCTTGCAGGCTTATCGGGGGAACAGCGTGTTTCAAGCAGGCCAGACAATCTGCAGAATGCTCTTTTTCTGCCTGCTTTCCTTTCCTCAGAATAAGGTAAGGTGTTTGGGGAAGATGACCTGCTGGTCCTGCCTCCAGGACAGCAAGCGCAGGAGGCTCTACACCAGCACTCCTGAAGCAGTGGCTCTGCAGGAGCACAGGGTGCCGCCGAAAAGGCCACCTCTCCCATGAACCACCTCAGCCCAAACTGAGTAATGACACCCTGTGACAGTCTTTGCTTGGATGTATGGGCTGGGTTTGGGCTGGCTGGGCTAGGGAAGTTAAGAAAGGATGGTCAAGTCTGAACAGAGCAGCAGACCTGCAGGGTGGCTGGCTGAGAGGCTTATGGAAAAGCTTTGGGAGAAAAACCAACTCATTCATAGACTCTAAAAGGATAAGACAGTCGATACCTAAGCAGAGTCTCTTTGCTCTGCTGCTGCCCAACTTCAAGATCTTAAAAATCTTCATTCATCGGGTTGGCCTGAAATTGGCCCCCAGGTTGCACATGATGGAGAGAGAGACCCCAACAAGCCTGCACAGATAACATGGTGGTGTGGTTTAACCTGGCAGGCAGCTAAACACCACACAGCCGTTCACTCACTCCCCCCCACAGTGGGATGGGGGAGAGAATAGGGGAAAAAAAGTAAAATTCATGGGTTGAGATAAAGACAGTTTAACAGGACAGAAAAGGAGGGGAAAATAATAATAACAACAACAACAATAATAATAATAATGATGATGTTGTATACAAAATGAGTGATGCACAATGCAATTGCTCACCACCCACCAACTGATGCCCAGCCAGTCCCCGAACAGCGGTCGCCACCCCCCGGCCAACTCTCCCCAGTTTCTATACTGAGCATGACGTCCCATGGTATGGGATATCCCTTTGGCCAGTTTGGGTCAGCTGTCCTGGCTGTGCCCCCTCCCAGCTTCTCGCTGGCAGGGCATGAGAAGCTGAAAAGTCCTTGACTAGTGTAAGCACTGCTTAGCAACAACTAAAACATCGGTGTGTTATCAACATTATTCTCATACTAAATCCAAAACACAGCACTGTACCAGCTGCTAGGAAGAAATTTAACTCTATCCCAGCCGAAACCAGGACACATGGTCACAATAATTCCCACAGGAAGCAATATGCCAGACACTGAGGCTGTGAGGCCGTTTTCAGACAAGGAAATGCTCAGTTTGCAATGCAAACAGGAAAGGGTGGCACTTGGAAAAGGAGCTTTCCTGCACCACAGACACCCTGGCTCTGCAGGACATCCCAGTGACCTGCTGGAAGAGGGACGTGTCGGCCCTGCCAGCTGCAGGACGAGTGGCTGGTGAGGTGCAATTTGGTGCATTGCCATCCATGAAGATGTCCTCCCAGCAGCAGGAGTTCACTTCTGGTTTCTTCACAAGGTTCTCAGCCAAGCTCCAGCTGAACTGTGAGAGTCGTGAACTGCCTCTAACTGCGGCACCCTTGGGCAAACCCAAAGGGATGGGCTTTAAAAGTTCTTTTGTTTCCCCTGCCTCAAAATTATCTTTGTTTTTCCTCCCCTGGTGTTTCCAACAGAAGGCATTTGCTTTTCTCACCCACCTCATTGCATTTGCGGCATTGTCCTTCTTGTGTTGCTGTGCTTCTGGGTGTCATCGTTCACCCAGTGTTACCTTTCCCCGCTTTTTAAAGCAAAATCTGATTTCAGTGGAAAAGTCTACAGCCTCTAAAGCCCAGTCCTTTATCCACAAAAGAAAAAGCTGCCTTGGTTATTCCAGAGCCGCCTTAAGCACCACTGGCTTTTTGGTGCTTTCTAATTACCAGATGACAGGCAGGGGATGATTTTAGCCAAAGGAGCAGTTGTACTCGGTTGAACCACCCAGTAAATGAGAGAATTTCCAAAATAGCACCACAGGCTGCAGAAAGCAGACAAGCGATAGGAGATCCCCCTCGGTGCCTGCAAACAGTGATCCCTGATGGCTTGGAGAGGTAAATTGCTGTGAAATTTCAGGGTGGGAA